TGAACAAGGGGCATATTCTGTACACTGACAATTATTATACAAGCCCCTTGCTAACAAAGTTCTTGCTTGAACATAACATGGGTGTGTGTGTGGCATTGTAAAGACACTTAGGAAGGAAATGACAGTTTTTGAAAATAATATTGTGAACTTAGAAAATGTGATAAGATTTTAGCAGTGCATTGGAAAGACAGATGTTAAGTCAATATGTTGTCAACTATTGACACTGGTGACATGCTTGACAGTGGCAAAGTGAGGAATTGAGCTGATGGAACATTGTATAAGCCAGATTGTGTCATTGACTACAAAATAAATATGAGACTTGTAGATAAATGAGACATGATGGTTGGTGCCGTCGAGTGTGTCTGCAAAGGAAGGTGTAAAGTGGACAAGGAAATTCTTCATGCCCCAACAAGACCACATTTAGTTTCCAATAGACTGGCTGCTAAATATGGCTTTACAATTCACAAGCCTGCCTACCACATTCCCTCTATTTCAGCAATCTCTCCTGCTCTGAAGGGAAAAGTGAGCATCAAGCAGTACTCAAGACAGGACAACACAAGTAACAGAATGAGCATTGTGATAGGATCCTTGGATTTGAAGGGTTTAATAATCCTCCTATCCTTTTTCTAGGTGATGCTATTCTTGCTTGGTTATGCTCCCTAAATGGAAGGTTGTCAGACACCAATATTTCCAGATCCTTTACAAGTTGCTTTTCTACTATGAGTAAGTCTGATTATGGCTTGTACCCTGTGTTTCATTCAAGATCTTAACACTTTGCCTGAACGATAACACATAATACGTCCGTATATGAAAACTTAATCAGTTTGTGGGAGGAAGCACGCAAAATTAAAATATTTGTTAAAATTCCATTTATTGTTTGATTATTATGGAACTAGTTTTAAAATGTGTGCCTTTCATTTGCAAACAATTTGATACCAAAATTGACTATGTAGCACAAGAATTGAGGTGGGAAGACTGGAAAGAGTATAAATATTTGAGTGTGGGTGGGTGGGTGGGTGGGTGCGCGCTCACAGGTAAAACTTGGCCTTCGGGTGTGATGTGGGTGGCGCACCGGGCCATTTAGCCTTACAGTACATGCATATACAGTATATGCATATATCCATTTAGAGCATTCTATTGCAAACTTTTTATACCAAAATGAACGATGTAGCACGGACATTGAGGTAAAAACACCGAAAAAGAGTGTTTGGAGGTTTACAAAAAATATTTGAGTGTGGGTGGGTGCGGACTCGCGGGTAATGTTTGGCCGATTTTCGGGTTTGATGCAGGTGGCGTGCCAGGCCTTTTGACCTAATATGCAAATATTCCTTTAGAGACATCTATTGCAAACAATTTGATATCAAAATGAATGACATAGCATGAAAATTGACGTGGAAAAAGTACAAAAAAAGAGTATAAACATTTTAGTGTGGGTGCACGTTCACGGGAAACAATCAGTCGACCTTGGGTATGCTGGGGGGTCGTGCACTGGGCCGGGCAAAGTTAATTTTTTTCCATACCCAAGTATTGTAATTGGAATTAATCGGTTATACAGGGTATATCATTTTATTTTCCGCTGCCCAATAAAGAATTTTCAATGTCTTCTACACAAGTAATTTTCATGGTGATTTTTGTATCATCTGCAAAAGATGACACGAAGCTGTGATTTAAATTTTTGTCTTTATCTGATATGAGAATAAGAAAAAGCAGTGGTGCAAGGACTGTGCCCTGAGGTACAGAGATTTTCACTGTGCTTGAACTTGATTTTGTTTGATTGACTGTTACTATTTGCATTCTGTTTGACAGAAAATTGAATATCCATCACCCTATTTTACCTGTTATTCTTATTGATCTCATTTATGTGCAATCACTCAATGGTCACATTTATCAAATGCCATTGATAAATGGCATTTACAGGGTACATGTACATTTGTTTTGTACAGGGTACAAAACACAATCGAATCTGCCCATAGTAGAAAAACAACATGTCAAGGATTTGGGAATAATGATGTCCGACGACCTAACATTTAGGGAGCATAACTAAGCAAATATTGGGTCAGCCAGAAAAATGATAGGGTGGATTACGAGAACTTACAAATCCAGAGATCCCATCACAATGGTTATACTCAAGTTACTTGTGTTGTCCCATCTTGAGTACTGCTCAGTACTCACTTCCCCCTTCAGAGCAGGAGAGATTGCTGAAATAGAGGGAACACAGAGAACATATACGGCACGCATAGACGAGATAATGAACCTAAATTACTGGGATCGTCTCAAAGCCCTCCAAATGTACTCACTAGAAAGGAGACAAGAGAGATACCAAATAATATACACAAAGAAAATACTGGAGGGCCAGGTCCCAAATCTACACAGTAAAATAACAACGTACTGGAGTGAACGATATGGAAGAAGATGCAGAATAGAACCAGTGAAGAGCAGAGGTGCCATAGGCACAATGAGATAACACTGTATAAACATCAGAGGTCCACGGTTGTTCAACACCGTCATAGCGAGCATAAAATATATTGCTGGAACAACAGTGGACATCTTCAAGAGGAAACTTGACTGTTTCCTCCAAGGAGTGCCGGACCAACCAGGCTGTGGTGGGTATGTGGGCCTGCGGGCCGTTCCAAGCAACAGCCTGGTGGACCAAACTCTCACAAGTCAAGCCTGGCCTTGGGCCGGGCTTGGGGAGTAGAAGAACTCAAAGAACCTTATCAACCAGGTAACCAGGTATCAACCAGACATCAGTTCAGCCGAAAGGCATCCATAATGAGAACCTCATGATCATGGATTGGGACCATCCAAGCCGGAAGAAACCAGCTCCACACCAACGTGAAAAGGTCCACCATGAGGCAACCAAATGTCCCACAAAGCTAACAGAATACCAAATAATATACACATTTACAGTGTATATAATAACCATACACATGTATCTAATATACACAATAATATACACATGTATCAGCGACAATCCACTCCATGGCAATGGGGAGCAAACAAGACTGTCTGCAAGTATGTCGAACACACTCTGAATAGAAACTGCAGAGCCAAACCGTGAGACGAGCCATTCTTAAAAAAATTGAGAAATCAAAATGGTTCCCATAATTCAGACAATAAACCACTGGGCAGCAGCCATAGAGGAGCTCAACTACATAGCCTGCCAGAACACAAGCATCAGCACAGCTTGTCAGAATGCACTGTGCTGTGAACCATTCGAAATTGATCCATCCAATACTCACTGAATAAGTGTTTGATGAAGCAGATGAGTAAATCTGGCCTAGAGAGTGAGTGTTGCAACTAGGGATTCACTGAATTCAAGTGAAAAGAATGAACCTTTCAAACTAGAGAAGCTAGACCAATGATACTTTTTAAGACACTAGTGCTCTTTTGGGTGGAATATTGATGCATACTAACAACCCCATTCAAAGCTGGAGAAATTAATGACCTTGTGAACATGTCTTTTATTGCCCAACTCCTCTAAATAAAACATCTAAATTATTGAGACCTTAAAATTGTTACATGTGTATTCTTCAGAGCACAGACAGGAAAGATACAAAACAATTTATACTTAGAAAATATAAGAGGGACGGATTCCAAATCTGCACACGGAAATAACTCCTCAGGAGATAAGGAGGCATGGTAATAAGTGCAAAATAGCCCCATTAACCCTTTAGTTGTGCAAGACATCATATGATGCGTTGAGTGACTTGCAGTAACTTGCTCTCGGCATCATATGATGTTTTGGAGTACCGCGCAAGATTTAAACGGCCCACGGATATACGGGGTTCCCCACACTTTCATCAGGGCTCTTGTAAACAGACGCCATTTAAAAAAAAAATCGTGGGCCAAATTCCCGGGTGCGAGGGGCCACAGTATTGAGTGAGCTACCAAGCCTGACGCACGCAGCATGAGCTCACAACACTGCTGTTCAGCTTGTGACCACAGCATCGCCTAAAAATGCCATAATATACATATTCTTGCTATTATTTAGTGATGATATTATTACAGAAGCCCCATGACTGTGATAAAACTGACCAGGGTTCTGATAACAGCAGGATTGTGGTGATATTTAGCACTGTCCTCCATGGAGGGAGAAGTAACGCTGTGGGAGGGAGGGTGGTGGCATTGTCTTCTGACTGTGTGTGGCCACCTTTTATTGACTGCACTCACCATACGAGCTTAGTGATTCGCTATGGTGAACACAAATGTAGATACTTATATATAATGTGTGTATAGAGTGTAATAACAGCAATAGGAGTAGGTTGGGAGCCGCCATTTTGGTGAGGGAGGTGCATCGTCTGCATGGCTTATGTTGTTTACTGGTGACCACGATGGTCTTTGGGCACAGTACCAGTTTACTTGTACAAGTATGGTGAATAAAACAGGTAGATACTTATATATAATGCTTGTATATAGCGTAATAACACCACAAACAGTATGTTGGAGGAGAAATATTAGTGTGTCTGGCCTTGAGGGCGGCCGCCACCAGCTGACTGTGTGAGTAGCTACATCTTTGTGCCTTTACTCACCATACAAGCTTAGATGTACAGTTATGGTGAGCAAAACATGTAAATACTTATATATAACGTCTGTATATAAAAGCAAAATCAGTATGGTGGGAGGAGAATGGTGGCAAGTCAGGTGAGGTGAGGGAGGGAGGGAGTGGCAGCCAGTGGCGGGCTGCCACTGGCTGCCACTGCCACTACCACTCAGCATACCAACTCAATTATAATAACAAAACAATTATAATACAAAGCAAATCAAATTAACATTAAAATATCCTTGTTTCTTTATGTTTTAAATACCTATAATAAATGGCAACATTTTGAATCTCTGTCTTCAATCAGAAAAGTATTTTTTTTTCCTAGTCCTCAAAGCATGACAATACACAAACCGTTGCATTTTATAACATATACAGTACAGTATGTATATACATAATGAGAAATACAAAATTAATCTCTTAAAATAAAATCTATAAACCAGTGACCTTTCCTGACCTGTGCCTTGGTGGGATGAGCACCTCCTTGAAACTCAAGTGTGCCGTATGCATCTGTTGGGAGGAGTTGAGTGTGTCTGGAGGGGCTCCAGTGAACGTCCTCCCCATGACGGAGTGTTGCTGGCGACCCATCACGGTGACACTGCCACAGCTGCCCACAACAACACCTGAAGGCCACAATTCACCCATATACTTTTGGTTTAGGTGCTACTTGGTATAACACAGCAATAAACACAAGTAACAATATCAATGATAATCATTCCAAAATGAATGTAAGTGGTCTAATACACACACACTAATTTGTTTTATCATAGTCAGATTTAACTATACAGTAACCTACAGGTACCTATAATTAATAAAGCTGAAAAAACAATTACATTTAAGCTTAAATCCTGCACATTTCTAACACATCATTAACAGCTACATTTTTATATTAAAAACTAGTGTATCTATGAATTACAGCCACAGTATTAGTGTTGAATAATACTGTAAATCATAATAAAGTATCTAAATACTTAAGTTACCTATAAGCTTAGCATTGTACATACTGTACTTTATTTTCTACAATTACCATAGACAGTTCGACAGAGTTATCATTTGGCTCATTATACACCTACAAATTGCCAACATTCATACCCAATATACAAGGCTTTCATTCTGTGGTTAACTTAAGTTTGATTGATTGATGAAGATTAAGCCACCCAAGAGGTGGCGTAAGCATGAGTAGCCGGTGAAAAGTTTACTTCAACTTTCTAGTGTCAACTCATGACTAGGAAGGATTTACAGGCAGCCCTTGAGTTGTGTAGTATTAGAGAATGCAGATTTGGTGAAACACAGGTAAGCCCTTTTTACATTATTATTATTATTATTTTATTTATAACAAATACAGAGGACTAGATTACAGGTCACTTAACAGGTAGAGTATTTGTATATTTTATAAAGATATTAATTATGTGCAACATTTCAGGCAAAACTTAAGATAATATATATATTGAGATTTACCGGGTACATTTTGTGGTAGTAATACTAAAAAAAGATGTACGTCAAAATATAAATTATTTGTGTTTTGTAAAGAAATTAAGGAAATTATATAATGTTTTCTAAAGTGATGAATGGTATATAACATTTTTAACTACAATGGTGTATTTTAACAGCTAGTGGATCGACTGTAGAATGGCACGGTTAATGTTTGATGCCACAATGTTCTTGGCAGTATGTCAGGCTTTCACACACACACCAGTCTTGTGTTTTATGAATGTTTTGGAATACTGTATATTCTTGCATCATTATACATCCCAAGCAATCTGGACTTCATTATGTGCCGTATTTGTGGCTGGAAAGTGGAGGGCGCGTTAAATATTAATGCTTTAATATAGACGTTTAACTAAGTAAAGAGTGGGAAAAGTGAGTGAGTGAGGCCTCCGGAATGTGACCATATTTTTTTATTGGAACGTAATGCCCACAAATCAAGGGCTGCCTACACAGTACTTTACCTACATACACAGTTTTATCTGATTCCTACACACTTTGAGGTCACTTACTCTGTCCAGTGAGCAATACTGCAACAAGTAATACAAATAAGAGAGATTTTAATCAAAGAAAAGGAAATGCTACCTTAATATATCTGTATTTTTCATGCACATAAATACTCTTCTAAGTTCATATACTTTATATTACTCTTAAAGCTACGAAGTATGATTGTATGTTTGCAAGTATATTCATGTGGTTAATAAGTGTTCATGTATAAAGGCCATGACTCTGGTTAAGCCTATAAATACTGTACTGTAATTATCAATAAACTTGTATTATATATAAATATATATATATATATAAATATATATATATATATATATATATATATATATATATATATATATATATATATATATATATATATATATATATATATATATATATATATATATATATATATATATATATATATAGTCGTACCTAGTAGCCAGAACGCACTTCTCAGCCTACTAAGCAAGGCCTGATTTGCCTAATAAGCCAAGTTTTCATGAATTATTTGTTTTTCGACTACCTAACCTACCTAACCTAACCTAACCTAACGTTTTCGGCTACATAACCTAACTTAACCTATAAAGATAGGTTAGGTTAGGTTAGGTCGGGTTGGTTAGGTTCGGTCACATATCTACGTTAATTTTAACTCCAATAAAAACAAATTGACCTCATACATAATGAAATGGGTAGCTTTATCATTTCATAAGAAAAAAATTAGAGAAAATATATTAATTCAGGAAAACTTGGCTTATTAGGCAATTCTGGCCTTGCATAGTAGGCTGAGAAGTGCGTTCTGGCTACTAGGTACGACATTATATATATATATATATATATATATATATATATATATATATATATATATATATATATATATATATATATATATATATATATATATATATATATATATATATATATATATATATATATATATATATATATATATATATATATATATATATATATATATATATATATATATATATATATATATATATATATATATATATATATATATATATTTATATATATACAGTACTATAAAGTACACTACATATATAATTTAACATGGAATGTGAATTAAATTCTTAAAATAAAATCCAGCTATGAAAGGCATCCAACACAAAAATAAATTTGACAAATTTATACAAGTGCCAGTTAAATGCATACTTAGAATCAGCCTCTCTATTATATGAATATCCTTTTAATCGCTTAAGAATAATGGCGTGTCAAAACCAGAAGAAATTAATTTTGTAAAATAGATATGTTATCAGTTATATTTTTCAATAAAGTTAACCATCAACAGAGAGGCAGACAACATTCTCACACCATTGACACAGGAAATTAAAAATATTCTAACAAGTTCACATTAGGTGCTAGAGGGTCATTGGAGGTCATTCATTCCTTTACAGAATGACTGGTTGATACCTGGTTGATGGGGTTCTGGGAGTTCTTCTACTCCCCAAGCCTGGCCCGAGGCCAGGCTTGACTTGTGAGAGTTTGATCCACTAGGCTGTTATTTGGAGCGGCCCGCAGGCCTACATACCCACCACAGCCCGGTTGGTCCGGCACTCCTTGGAGGAATAAATCTACTTTCCTCTTGAAGATGTCCACGGTTGTTCCGGCAATATTTCTTATGCTTGCTGGGAGGATGTTGAACAACCGCGGACCTCTGATGTTTATACAGTGTTCTCTGATTGTGCCTATGGCACCTCTGCTCTTCACTGGTTCTATTCTGCATTTTCTTCCATATCGTTCACTCCAGTACATTGTTATTTTACTGTGTAGATTTGGTACTTGGCCCTCCAGTATCTTCCAGGTGTATATTATTTGATATCTCTCTCGTGAGTACATTTGGAGAGCTTTGAGACATCCCAATAATTTAGGTGCTTTATTGCGTCTATGCGTGCCGTATATGTTCTCTGTATTCCCTCTATTTCAGCAATCTCTCCTGCTCTGAAGGGGGAAGTGAGTACTGAGCAGTACTCAAGACAGGACAACACAAGTGACGAAGAGTACAACCATTGTGATGGGATCCCTGGATTTGAAAGTTCTCGTAATCCATCCTATCATTTTTCTGGCTGTCGCAATATTTGCTTGGTTATGCTCCTTAAACGTTAGGTCGTCAGACATTATTATTCCCAAATCCTTTACATGCTGTTTTCCTACTATGGGTACATTTGATTGTGTTTTGTACTCTGTATTATGTTTAAGGTCCTCATTTTTACCGTACCTGAGTACCTGGAATTTATCACTGTTAAACATCATGTTATTTTCTGATGCTCAGTCGAAAACTTTATTAATATCAGCTTGAAGTTTTTCAGTGTCTTCAGCCGAGATAATTTTCATACTGATTTTTGTGTCATCTGTAAAAGATGATACAAAGCTGTGACTTGTATTTTTGTCTATATTTGATATGAGAATAAGGAAAAGCAGCGGTGCAAGGACTGTACCCTGAGGTACAAAGCTTTTAACTGCACTTGGACTAGATTTTATATGGTTGACCGTTACTTGCTGAGTCCTGTTTGACAGAAAACTGAGTATCCAGCGTCCTACTTTACCGGTTATTCCCATTGACTTTATTTTGTGTGCTATCACGCCATGGTCACATTTATCGAAAGCCTTTGCGAAGTCCGTGTATATCACATCAGCATTCTGTTTTCTTCTAATGCCTCAGTGACTTTGTCGTAGTGCTCAAGTAGCTGTGAGAGGCACGATCTTCCCGCTTGAAATCCATGTTGGCCTTGGTTGTGAAGGTCATTGGTCCCCATGAAATTGGTGACCTGACTCCTAATCACTCTCTCAAATACTTTTATGATGTGCGATGTTAGTGCAACTGGTCTATAATTCTTTGCCAATGCTTTGCTCCCTCCCTTGTGTAGAGGGGCTATGTCTGCTACTTTAAGTGCATCTGGTATCTCCCCCGTGTCCAAGCTCTTCCTCCACACTATGCTGAGTGCCTGACTGACAGAAGGTGATTCATAAAACATCACTGCCTTACCAAAGTGACCGTCAAAACTGGGTTCCACTAACTGCTCTTTTACCTGCACAGCAACCTACCCCCCACGCCCCCATCACCAAGTAAACTCATCTGAAATACGAATCTGCCCTGCCAGAAATGCTGTGTGTGTTAGTGGCTTTGCAAGAATGTAAAAATACCAATCTTATGTAATCTCACAATCCCATTGTACATAAATAAAAATTATTATTATTGTTATTATTATTATTATTATTATTATTATTATTATTATTATTATTATTATTATAATCAGTGCTGATGCAGCAGAAGGAAGCAGATAACCATCTCTGTCAGTGAAAGCACTGACATGCAGCCACCAACCAGTAGCTTAAAATGATGGCCTAGCCAAACCCCCACAATAGTTTTGCAAGCAAGGAATTTTAGGTAAACACAGTAGCACTCAGCAATTTTCTAACTCATGTGCTGAATGATACATACTGGAGTTAGTTTGACCAAGGAAAAACAGCATATCAATCCACATGTGGAAAAAGGCTCTTCAGTCTTAGAACCTCAGCCCAAGTTACATTAAAGGAAAGTTCTTGTTCTTTAGTTGATGCTTCACACACACATACCCTTACACACAGGAATCACAATAGCATGATGCATCAAATAAACAAATTCACA